AACTTTACAGCACAGCGGAAAAAAGGAACTGAGGGGAATCTTGGGTGGAAGGAGCATGTGCCTCTTGGGGGATCGTCCCATAAAATTGTTACTTTTAGCTCTGGGATGCTCCGAGAACGTCAGCGCAGGCGCTGACTAAACCCATATGTGTGTATTCACAGAGGCCACGAAGTAGAACAGCTAAACACAATATGAAATATAATTCTGACCTTCTGTTTATAGTATGACTGGGGTAGTGTGAGATGTCTTGATTATATAGAAAATTGTAAGGGGTTTCTCTATTTTCTTTAGGTGTTGCTCTTTCAGGAGAGACAAAGGAGGAGTCTGAATTAACAAATAAAGTATTTTTTATTAACAAACGTGTTTATATCTTCTTGGTTGCAAACAACAGAACCTTGAACTGACAACTGGGGAGGTGAACTCTCCCAAAACCATAACAGGGACTTTTCTTCATTCAAATCTTTTAATAATAAGTTTTGGCTTTTTCCTCTGCTTCCGTGGCCTGTCTAAGAAAGTTGTTTCTGATGCACACAAAGTCCCACAGCATGGGTGGCGGGCCCAATCTCCCTCTCTCAGGACTTCTTTCTCTATTCCTGGCGGGATGTGATGTACTAGACGTGCCAGACCTTGTTTCTTCGGGTACACTGATACAGTCCATTCTTCAGGACTTAGACCTGGTATTATTGGTCTTATCTTTATGCCAGCCCTTTGATCTTCCTCACTTATGGATTTCTCCACGGGTCTCTTGATCGGCACTGAAAAGACTTGAGGGTCACTTTCTGTTTCACCGGATTCTCTCTCTCTAAATACAGATACTTTCTCCATCTCTCTTGAAACAGCTCCTTCTTCGGTAGTCAAAAATATGTCTATTTTTCCCCTCTCATGGTCTATGAATCTCCTGTCTCCCGACTCAGGTCTTTCTACAGGTACTTTCTCCCTTTCGCGGTACCCTGATCTCTCCTCCTCCCCGGGCTTTCCTAACAGTCTCAACTGTCTCTCTTTTGCGTGCGCTCCTTCCTCGCAAGCTCTCTCTACCTTCACCTCGCACCTTTCCTCTGTCTCTTCCGCATGCACTTTCATTTCGGATTTCTTTGATCTCTCTGATTCTATCTCACTTATTTGAGGGGACGGCTCACTCTGTGTTGAATCTCTATCCTCCTTCTCACAAAAATGTATCATGTAAATGAATATTAGAAATTAAAAGGGTCTGAGATGTATTGCCCTTATTAATCTCTTGAACTTATTGTTGATCAATTATTCTATGATAATTAATTACAGCTAAATTAATCCATCAACAAATTATTTTAGTGCATACTACTATTGCACTTTATCTGCCCCACTCTTTACCGTTCTTTCACAACATTTACACCAGAGTCAATAGGCCTGTCACCCACTGAAGGGGAAATGAATAATATATCGTGGGCAGAGGAAGGTATGGCGCTGGCGCAGAATCAGTTAAACCCAAACAGGGTCCAGATAGTTGAAGGCTGTCCCTTCTTCTAGCTCTGTTGCCAATGACCAGAACTGCAGTAACTTGCTCAGCCAACCCACCACTTTATCCTTGCTGCTGTTAAATGCTAGATCTGCTTTAAATAAGACCCAGCCAATCCAAGACTTGATCTTGGATGAAATAGCATATATGGCCTGTATTATTGAGACCTGGGTGGGTGCATAGGGCGGTGCAGCCCTCTCATTAATTTGCCCACCCAGATAATCCATACAGCACCAAGGTAGACTGGACGGCTATTATTTATAAAAGCACCTTAGAGGTTGTTAGGCTCTCTGCCTTGAGCATCTTGGGCCTTAAAACCCTTCACATGTTGGTGGGGACCGGGGATGGATTTGGGATGGTGCTGGTTTACTGTGCTCACTGCCAACCTAGCAGTTCAAAAGCATGCCAAATGCAAGATGCGAGTAGATAAATAGGTACCACCACTGTGGGAAGGTAACAGCATTCCGTGTCTAGTCACGCTGGCCACGTGACCACGGAAGATTGTCTTCAGACAAACACTAGCTCTATGGGTTGGAAACGGAGATGAGCACTGCCTCCTAGAGTCGGACATGACTGGACAAAGTGTCAAGAGGAACCTTTACCTTTACCTTACCATTCTGGCTATCCTGAAAGTCCCACAACTAAAAATAACCATGGAAGACTCAAAAGCATTCACTTTGCAATAGTGGCCAAAATCCAGCTGGATATTTATATGGGAAATTCAGAAGTAGCCGTGGCTGATTGTAGCTAATTGACAAGGTACTAGACTTGTGTTGGGTGTACAATCAGACATGCAGTCGGAAGCATGTGACTAGCATGCCATAGCAGATTGTCAATTAGCTGCCACAGCTTCTGAAGTTCTTGTGGAGAGTGCATAAATATCCAATCGGATTTTGGTCACTAAAATATAATAGGAGAATAAAGTCAAATCCCATCAATATTGACTATGAATTTCATTCTACAAGAGAAAACTAATTGTGATGACGTCAGACCTAGCTGTCTGCTTTTTGCTCAAGCTCAGCCCTCCTGAAACAAATACAGACCAAAATTCTTCCCCCCACACATCCCTAGTTGTTTTCTCACTGCCTGTTTATATATATGCACCAAACTCCTATTCATTTGATCCACACATACAACTGTACACTGTGTAGGTGGATCAGCTTTTTCTGGGTTTACAGCAGAGGATATCTAGCATATTCTTGTGTGAGGGTAATCTCTATTCTTTTTAATGAGACAGTATCTGCTTACTGACAACAAGATAGATGTTTTGTGGAATGATCAGCAGAGAATTAATGCTCTCTTCCATGGAGCAGTAAGATTTATTACATTGCACATTATTGAGGCTCTGCAAAAAAAAGCGCCCCAAATCCTTTCAGTTGCACCAATGATCATACTGCAAATGGTGTAACTTCTGATGGCAAAATAATTGCAAGTTAAGAAGTCAGTATGGGCATTATTTGTTGCCTGCTAATTTTCATGACTCAGTGCACAACAAATAATGTCTATGAAAATTAATCCCCCAAAGTTGCAGTATTTGTGTAATGCCTCTGCAGAAGGGCAATAGGATTTTGGCCTATATGGGGAAAATATTCTCCACAGATTTCTGTAATCTCTATTCCCTTACACTGCACTTTGAAAATACTTAGGATAATGGCAAAACATCCAAATAATTTCTCTTAAAATGTTTCCTGCTTCAGTAGATCATTTTCAGTAACTTTTGAAATTAACTAGAAAACATGACTTGTTACAACTGAATATGAAAGATAATGCTATCTCCACTATTAAAACTAACTAGTTACAAGTAATTAACCTTACTTGTAACCAGTTACTTTAACAGTGGGGGCTACAATAACTTAAACTACAAGTAAATAACTTTACTTGTAGTTGATTATTTTCACACTCTGTCACTATGTGACAATGTACTTATGCATCAAAGAAAAGACCACCCAGCATACTGTCAGTTTAAAGATTGTACACAACATCCAAGATAGCATAGCAATCAGTTCAGATGTTCCATTCTAAACAGGTATGTGGTAGCACTGCTGCTTACCATATTTTTCCGTGTATAAGACAAACCAAAGTATAAAACGACCCCCCCTTTTCCTAACCCCACATTTTAAAAAGCAGGGATCAAAGGGCTCCCTTTTTGCTAAGCCCCATACCTTGGCAAAAGGCAAGGAAAGTGGCTGTCAAAGTGACTGCTGCTTTTCCTCGCCTTTTGAGAAGGCATGGAGTTTAGCAAAAAAAAAAAAAGGAAGGGGAGCTGTTGCTCCCTTTCCTTTTTGCTAACCTCCATGCCTTTTCAAAAGGTGAGGGTGCGGGGCTTTAGGGAAAAAGGGGAGCCGTTGTTGTAACCTCCATGCCTTCTCAAAAGGTGAGGGGTGCGGGGCTTTAACGAAAAAGGGGAGGCAGGAAGAGGTGCCCAAGCACACCCGAGTGCTTGTTTGCCTTCGCCTCTGCCTCCTGCTGCCTGCACCACGGGAGGGGACAAGGCAGCGGTGATCGGGCAGGCGGGGGAACCAGCAGCAGGAGGTGCCGGAGTGCATGTGAATGCTCCTTCACCTCTGCCTCCTGCTGCTTCCACCACGGGAGGGGACAAGGCAGCCACTGATCTGAGCCCATCAGTCTCACTGGAGATGGTGATTGGGTGGGTGGGTGGAGGCAGCAGCAAGAGGTGCCCCAGCGTGTATGAATGCTCCTTCCCCTCCGTCTCTGCCTCCTCCTGCTGCCTTGGCCACCGGAGGGGACAAGCCGTCAGCTCTGGAAGAGGCAATTGGGCAACAGTTGCGGCAGCAACAGGCGCCCGAGCGTGCACGTGTGACTGCTTCCTTCTGTGTATAAAACGACCCTCAATTTTTCCTCTAATTATTTTAGGAAAAAGTGTCATTTTATGCACAGAAAAATAAGGTATATGCTTTGAAGGATTTGGGGAGCTGAGTGTCTACACAGAAGTACCAGCTCTTCACTGGTTAGAAAAGCTTTGATCCTCCCATCCACTCCACTGCTTATTCTTTTTCCTTCAGTTTTTTCTTTCTCATTAGTCTTTCTCTCCCCCTCTCTCTGTTTTTAGATTTTCTTTTCTGTTCACAGTTCTCCTCCTTCTTTACAAACAGCAGATGTTTTTCTTTTGCTGTCTCTGAACTGAAGAGTTCAGGGGCATTACAAAGGAAAGTACCATGTTGCATTCCTAAAAGTCCTGTAGAGAAATGACCATTTCAAGCTGCCATCAGCTCTGTCTGTAGGAAGGTAAAAGATGCTTACTATCCAGTGGATGTAGGTGGTAAACTGGGCTTCAAGTTACCCTGAGATACACACTCCTAAAGCTCCTTGTTTTGGTTATTGAAGTTTCATGGTGTTGGAGTTGTGGCTGAGACAGACATGTATAGACACACATGCTTTTATTAATAGCACTACATGTGGAAGGTGGGTGAGTGGATATGTAGAAAAGCTCATGAAAGACACTGAAATATCTCATAACATAATCTGTTTCTTTTCCCATGGTTTTCAGGAACCTTCGCATTGTGAAAGTGGGATTACAATTTTTGGCTTATACTTAGATGGTGCTTGTTGGAATCCTGTCACAGAAGCAGTGGAAGAACCTGAACTTCACAAGAGATTTTATGAACTACCAGATGTACTATTTTTACCACAAAAGGTGATTTTTAAAGAAAATTATATCTTACATTATAACACTTAGTGTGCATGAGAAAGGTGATGATATGAATCTTGAAAGCTAGCAGTAGCTGTGCAGTCTTGTATTTCCACTTGAAATGCAAATTCATATTTTTCATTATGCTTATTTACTACCTTGTGCACTACTCCACCTGACCCTTTATTCAAATCGAAATAGAGGGTACAAATCATAGTGATACTTCATGCATTAGCTAATGTTACGTTACCAACAAATATTGGGATGTGAATACAGTGGTGCCTCGCATTACGACGTTAATTCATTCCAGCGAAATCGCTGTAGAACGAAAATGTCGTAATGCGAAATTAAAAAGCCCATAGAAACTCATTAAAACCTGATTAATGCGTTCCTAGGGGCTTGAAACTCACCGTCCAGAGAAGATCCTCCATAGCGCGGCCATTTTTGCTGTCTGTGCAGCAAGGAATCCATCCCAGAAAAGAGCGGAAGCCATGTTTTTTACCCGTCGGCCATTTTGAAACCGCCAATCAGTTGGCCGAAAATCTTCGCTTTGTGAGAATCGGTTCCCGAAGCAGGGAACCGATCATTGCAAAGCGAAATTTCCCCATAGGGAACATCGTTTTGCGATCAATGTAAAGCAATTTCGTCGTAAAATGGAGCACTCGTAATGCGAGGCACCACTGTACTAGTTATCTATTGAAATCTTAAAAAGAAATTGGGTGTAAAACTTGTAACTGTGGTTGGGCTAGTTGGAGACTCTTAAGGTATACCAAATTTAATCTACATGATGACAATATAAATAGTACAAATGGAACAGATCCAATCCTTTTTTGGGTAGAAAAGCAGGCAACAAAGATTAAACTCATATTCTACCTATGAACCAAACCAATCCAAAATGTTCCATTTTCTTATAAAGGATTACTTATCCCAGAATTGGTCCTGCCTTTCTGATTGTTGTCTTAATGCACACATGAGTATCCACTAGGAAGAGAACAGTTCCTCCTAAATCATTTAGTTATATAAAGAGGGGAGCACAAACACACAAAACTACCCATCAAGAGACTAAAAATTACCTCTGAGCATGCCCATTAAGGGAGATCAGACTCAAACCTGATGTACTGTTCTTGAAGAAAGCCTCTGGTCTAGACAGTTGTTCTAAGCCAGTGATGCTGGCTCTGTTTATTTATTTATTTATTTATTTTGTTTGTTTGTTTGTTTGTTTGTTTGTTTGTTTGTTTAAGCTTATACTCCACCCATTTAGTGGAGAAGCCACTATGGGCAGCTTCCAGGAAATAAAATAATAACAAAAATATGCAACAATTTAAAAATGGACATATGAAAACCAAAACTCCTTTGATGAACCATGGGCTGGCATAAACTCACTACAAAATTAATGACATTTGTAAAGGCCTGGGTAAAAAAGCCAGGTTCTTCTTCGTGGTCTCTGTGAATGCAGACAATTGGGTTTTAGTGCATCTGCGCAGTCTCTCGGAAACTTCTAGAGCTTTTGCACGTGTCGTTAGGACTTCCCTCCTGTCGTGCTTTTTTTTTTTTTTTTGGCCACTGCTGCAGCAGCACCTCGGCTACAGAACTTCCATTCATTCTGTAGGAAAAAGAAAATAAA